TAATATATTATTAGTAAATCTATTTATTAAATATGAAATTAATTATAAATTAAATACTTACTTTTTGATGAAAATATATATAGTTCTTCATATTTTATTTTAAAAACATTACTTTTACTAGGATGATTATTTTTATTTTCATTAGAGTTCAGACTTGCTTCACTTTTATTGAGATTCTGATTTGCTTTACTTTTATAAGAATTCTGATTTGTTTCACTTTCATAGAAGTTCTCATTTGTTTCACTTTCCCAAAAATCCTGATCTACTTTTAGTATTTTATCCATTTTATGTAAAATTTCATTCACAAATTCTATATTCTCTTTGGTACCAATTTTATTATAATAAAATCATTTTTGACTATTATCTTGATATGTTATTTCTATTTCATTTTCTAAGAATTCAACATATTTAATATGATTGTTTATATTGAATATAACTGTTAGATACAATGAACGCATCAAATTGCTATTAATGTAATCTAAAAAATTAAAAAAAATTTAAAAAATTAAAAAAAAAACTATATTTTTAAAACAATAATTAATTAATTTTAATTAACAAAATACGAGTTCAGATTTTGTTAATCTATTATAAAATTATCTAACTTTAACAGATATAGTTTATATTTATAATTTTGCACAAATTTCTTTTATCAACATAATAGATTAACAAAATCCGAATTTGAATTTTGCTAATTATATACGTAGCTAATTTTACTATTAATTAACAAAATCCGAACTCAGATTTTGTTAATTATTATTTATAGAATTATACGTATTAAGTAATTAATTACTTAATACAAAATTCTATATGTACGTAGTAATTAACAAAATCCGAACTCGGATTTTGTTAATTATTATTTATAGAATTATATTAAGTAATTAATTACTTAATATAATTCTATAAATAATAATTAACAAAATCCGAGTTCGGATTTTGTTAGCATTAATTAAAATCCAAATATAATATTTATCCATATTTAATAAAAGTTGTTACGTATATGTAGATCTATAGAAAAAAAGCAGGTATTTATATAATATTTAATCTTTAAACTTAAAATTTAACATACATAATAATAAGGTTATTTGTAATTTAAACTTTCAAATTTAAATTTAATATATATAACCTAATATGTAATTACAAATATTTTAATTTAAGCTCATGTATAGTCATAATGATTTCAATAAATACATCATTTTACTAATTTTTTTTTTTTTTTTTTTTTTGCATATTTTAGTATTTTTCTAAAGTAGAGATTGTACTCGAGTGACACTAGGGTCGTTTTATATGTGAGCAAAAATTACATGATTTCAGAACTAAATTTTTTACATCACTATTTGATTGAGCAAAGTTACACGTAATTATATGCGATACAATCTATATTTATTGAATGCTACGCAAAAGGTTTGTCACTCATATCATAATTATTTTTATAGCCCAAATAATAAGTAGCTGCGCAACACAGTTGCGCAAAACCAGGAATGGGAAAATTGGTATATTATCATATCAGATATTAACTATTTAGATAGAATAGTTGACTAATGTAATAATATCTGAGACTGTAATATTAACCAATATATTTTAGCAAAAAAAAGTAACTGCAACAGATTAATAT